GGAGAAATGGGGATTGAGGGTTAGGAAATAAAGAGGGTGAGGGTACTCAAAATGCATTTTATATATAAATAAACAGATGTATTTATTGAAAAAAAAGAGTAAAGTGTCTTGCTTAGTTAATGTCTATTGCTGTGAAGAGACACCATGACCATGGCAACTCTTACGAAGGAAAACCTTTAATTGGGGCTGGCTTACTGTTCAGAGGTTTAGTCCATGATCAGCTTGGCGGGAAGCATGGCAGCGTGCAGGCAGACATGGTGCTGGAGAAGGAGCTGAGAGTCCTGCATCTGGATCCACAGGCAGCAGGAAGAGAGAGAGACACTAGGCCTGGCTTGAGCTTTCGAAACTCCAAAGCTCGCCCCAGTAACACGCTTCCTCCAACGAGGCCACACCCACCCCAAGAAGGCCACGCCTCCTAATCCCTGTCCGGCGGCACCACTCCATAATGACCAAACCTTCAAATCTATGAGCCTATGGGGGCCATTTGTATCCAAACCACCACAGGTCTCAAGTTAGGCCATGGGAGTCAAGAAGATGCCCGCAATTCTTCGAGGAAGATCGGTCAAAGTGGCTGAAACTATCGAGAACGGCTTCAATAAGGTCTAGATGGATGCGATTCGGATATAATCCTGGGTTGGACACTGTGGGAAGAAGGTAGGAACATCAGCTCTTCTACGGCTAACAGTTCATTTCCCCAAGGAAATATAAATGGAAAAAGAGCAAAATCGTTCCAGAGTAGAAGTAGATTTACGGGGACAGGAGACGCGGCTCAGCAGTTAGGAGCACTCACTGCTCTTGCAGAGGATCTGGGTTTCGTTCCCAGCACCCATGAGGAGCTCACAACTGCCTGTAACTCCAGCTTCAGGGGACTGGGCACCTTTCACTGTCCTCCTCAGGTGCTGTACCCATGTGGTGCACATACAGACGAGCAGGCGCGCAAAAACATAGTGTGGTATTTTAAAGGCATTTGAGGCTGAGGAGATGCCTCAGAGGGTAAAGTACTTGCTGCGTGCGCATGAGGCTCTAAGTTCAAATCCCGAGCAGCTACATGGAGAGCCACATGTGACCGACAGCATCTATAATCCCAAGGTTGGGAGGCCGAGACAGGAGGCCCCCGGGGGCTCCCTGGCCAGCCACTCCAGCCACATCGGTAAGCTCCAAGGTTAGTGAGAGATCAGTCCCCCAAAATAAAGTATACTTGTTGATCATGGTGGTGCACACCTTTAATCCCAGCACTCAGGACTCAGAGGCAGGAGGAGCTCTGTGAGTTTGAGGACATCCTGGTCTACATAGCAAATTACAGGACAGTCAGAGCTATGTAGTAAAACCCTGCCTCAAAATAATAATAATGAAACTAATAATCATAATAATATACTTGATATTGACCTCTGGCCTCCATGCACACATACACCTGGACACACATGTACATTGCACTTGTGTATAGCACACACACACATACAAACACATAAGCATGCACACATACACAACTTTTGCATAAATTACAGCTTCATAAATTTGAAAAAACCAATACCACACTAACCCACTGGGGTCTAAGATATTCATTGGTAATTTCCATTTGCAATTACCTATGCTAGGTCACAGTTGAGAAAAAAAAAGCCAGAGGAAAAAGATGAGTGCACACCTGGAGAATAAAATACAGGGTTCTGGCTTCCCTCAGAGGAGATGAAAACAAACAGTACTAACATTTAGATTATTTGGGCAAATATACGGGGTTCTCAAAAGTCATTTGAAATTAAAAATCCTAAGGGTTGTTCACCAGATAATTGGAGATAACATACCATGATAAACACACACTTTGATTAGTAATGCATTTTTGTTTTTTATTGTTTTGTTTGTTTGTTTTTGTTTTTCCAGGCATGGTTTCTCTGTGTAACCCTGGCTGCCCTGGAACTCACTCTGTAGACCAGGCAGGCCTCGAACTCACAGAGATCCGCCTGCCTCTGCCTCCCGAGTGCTGGGACTAAAGGTGTGTGCCATTAGACCTGGTGACGCTGAACTTCTGATCCTGCTGCCCCCACCTCCCAAGTTCTGGGATGGCAGGTGTGTGCCACTCTGCTCCATCTAGGTGGTAGTGGGGATCAAAGCGTAACACATCGTGTTTCCAGGTGAGTACTTGACCGACTTGGTACTGTCTCCAAGCCAGTACCAGTTTATTCATGTTCAGTTGAAGATATCCTACAGGAAAGGGGGGATATGTAAAACAGTTGCATATATATATATATTTAATTTCAGAAATATTATCCCTAAAGAAGGCCCCTTGGATAAGGAAAGAACTTTCCCTGAACATTACTCAAGGTCTTGCTGTACTGCAGACACTATTCTAGAAGCTTGAGCTATAGGAATTCACTGAAGCCTTATAAATTCCCCAGTGACCCTGATCAAAGGGCCAAGTTGTCTTCACACCTAAGGTCACCTCTGAACCACCGTGTCCCTGGCTTGTGGGGCCCAGCCACTTGAGGGGAAGAGTGAGCCAGCCTCAAAGAAAAATTCCAGAAGGTTTCTGCTGCCCGTCAATGATTTACTAGGTATTGATTTCAGGGATGTTGTAAGAGATGTGGCATCGGCGTGAGCAGATGAGAAATATTTGCTATTCGGATTGTGGGAAAGGGCCAGTGAGATGGTTCAGTCGGAAAAGGTGCTTGTCACCAAGCTCGATGACCTGAGCTCGCTCCCCTCTGACCTCTACACGAGCACTGTGGCATGCATGCATACATACACACATGCACACATACACACATGCACACATACACACATGCACACACGCACACACACACATGCACACACACATGCACACATACACACATGCACACACACACATGCACACATACACACATACACACATGTACAGATAAATAAATGGTGGGTTGTTTTGTTGTTGTTGTTGTGTTGTTTGTTTTTTTTTTTTTAAGTTTGCGAGAGAACAGAAATTTTCATTCAGATAATCATGGCACTGAACTTCTCAACATCTATTGGTTGTTCGTTCATATAAGGGTTCCTCTGTGTAGTCCAGGCTGGCTCTGAATGTGTGATTCTCCTGCCTAAGCTCTCTAAATGCTAGGGTGACAGTTGTGTGCTACATTGGCCTGGCTTTCCAATACTTATTTTGACTGTTCCTTCTACACACACAAACACACAAGCATGCACACATCCACAACTTTTGCATAAATTACAGCTTCATAAATTTGCTGGGCCACACAGGTCCTTCTCCTCATCCACATGCACTTGCTAAGGGCTGTTAGCTCCCCAGCTCTTATTCTGGCCAGGTAGGGTGATTCTGAATTCTTTGTTTGTCCTGGGATATTTGTCCAAGTTATGGCCAGTTCCCATAGCAGGGCTTTTTACAGGCAGCTACATCTGTGAGACACACGGGGTCCTCAGATAGATGTCACCACCCACAGATTCCATCTCAGGCAGCAGCTTCAGGTGAACAGAACAGTTTTCTTTCTTTTTTTTGGGGGGGGGGAGTGGTTTTTGAGACAGGGTTTCTCTGTGTAGTTTTGGTGCCTATCCTGGATCTTGCTCTGTAGACCAGGCTGGCCTCAAACTCACAGAGATCCGCCGGGCTCTGCCTCCCAAGTGCTGGGATTCAAGGCGTGCGCTGCCACCACCAGCCAGCTCAGAACAGTTTTCTTGTAGATAAGCATCCCAGAGAGATAATGCTCCCTTAGTTTTATTTATTTATTTATTTTTACCAGAGTGAGGTAACAGTGGCTGTAGATTCCGCGAAAGATGCCCAGAGCAGCTTAAATTGAGCAGAACACATCCAGAAAGGGGAGCCTGGCTAGGGAGGCCGGCCTGCAGGGATGCTGTGGTTGGCTGATGTGGATCGCCCGTGTGACTGGGGCATCCGGTCTTTCACTGCTTCAGATGCTGACACCTCACTACATCTGTAGAACAAGGGGAACCGGGCAAGACATAAAAGAGGTATCAAATTGGTACCCGCCTTCCCAAACCTTGTAATTTAACTGGGAAAATTATATCATAATGGCCGGTGGTCTGTAATTAGCCAATCAATAAGTCTTTTAAGACTATCAAAATATAAAATAAAGATCAGAAGAACATGATAAGAGTTGGTCTGGGAAGCCTTCCGTGTAGGTGGTACCTTTTTTGTCTGAAGTGAGAGAGCCAGAAGGGAGAAAAGAGGTCACTTGCAAAAAGTCAAGCCACAAACTATGTGCACATAAGATGTAAAACTGGGAAGTATCATAAATAAAACTGAGTGGGGTTTGAGTGTAGGTAGCTCCGAGACAGAGAGTATGTTCAACATTCGGAAGGGTCTGGGTTCAAATGCCAGCACCAAGAAGAAAGAGCAGGGGACAACAGAAGAAAAGGGAGGAAAAAAGAAAAAAACAATTATTGAAAAACCAGACGCGGTAGCCTCTGTCCATAATTCCAGCAGTAAAGAGGCTGAGGCAGGAGGATGATGAGTTGGAGGCTCGTCTGAACTATGTAAGGAGTTCATGCCTGACCTGGAACTCATCGTGTAGACCAGTGGTCATCAAATCCACAGTGATCCGCCTGCTTCTGCCTCCCCGGTGCCCGGGATTAAAAGCAAGCCCGCCCCCCCCCCCCCCAGTCCTCAAGCCCAGTCCCAGCCCCCTACTGAAAACACTAGAATTGCTATAGAAGAGTTGCCCATACACGCTGAAAGCCAAGTTCCGAAAAGCACCCTGAGGAAGTGAGTGAGGCTTTCTCTACGAGCAGGAATTTGGAAAGAGTCAGGACGTGACATAAAGAACAGTGTCAGGCTGGTAGCCGGGGGGCAATGTCGTAAGAGCACTGGACAGGGACAAACAAGCTCTGCCCACAGCTTGGGTAACTTCCCTTGTTTATCATGGCAACCTGCAGTGCAGAGCATGGCTTCGGGCTGGCCACGGGGAAACACAGCCCAGGTTTTTGACCTTTGTTAATCATTGACTGATGTCAAAAGCAGATCTCTCTCTCTCTCTCTCTCTCTCTCTCTCTCTCTCTCTCTCTCTTTTAGGTTGTGGATGTGTGGGGCAAACCACAGATGGGGGGCAGCAGCGAGGAACGGGGCCATTTCTGAAGAAGGTGGGTAGGTTTGCTATTTCTACCATGCGTCTAAGAGGGAGGAAGCGTTTGCTCCAGAATATGCCGCTCCAAAATATGCCGCTCTGGTATGAGGAATATTTTGAGTTGAAAGCAACTGAAGAGCAGCACACTCAGGAGAATGTCTAAAAATAGAGCGTGCATTTCTCTGCCCTACGACTGGGCTGTAGCTCAGAGCTGTAGTGTGCCGTTAGCATGCACAGGTCTGTTGGTTCAATCCCTAGCAACACACACACACACACACACACACACACACACACACACACACACACACACACGCACACACGCACGCACGCACGCACGCGCGCGAAGTTTCTACTTAAAAAATAATTTCTCTTCTGTTGTACCAGGAAGGGAAGGGATATGGCTTTTTGCTTGTTTGTTTTCGTTTTTTTTGAGACAATGTCCTCTGTATTCCAAAAAAAAAAAAAATTGTATGTACAATAATAATACATCTTCTCCCCTCCCACCATACATATTCAAGCTTTAGAATATATTTGTTTCCAATACAAAAGAGGTGTGTAGCTCAGACAGCTGCCTAGCAGGCACAAGGCCCTAGGGTCAATCCCCAGCCCTGCAAAACAAACAAGAGCATGAAGGACAGTTATGAGGTGTCTGTTGAAAGAAATGTTTGTATTAAATCATGGTCGTAGTAGCCGTAAGGAAGCACAGCGGCGTGACAAAATATAATAGACCAAGTCAGAAGGCAAACGGCAGGAACTATTATAATTTTAATCTATTACGTATTTACGTGTGTGTGTGTGTCCATACACGTGTGTGTAGATACGTGAGATGGTGTCAGATCCTATGGAGCTGAAGTTACAGCCACTTGAGAGCTGCCCAGCGTGGTTACTGGGAACCGAACTCTGGTCCTCTGAAAGAACAGCAAGGGCCATCAACAGTCAAGCCAGCTTTCCAGGCCCAGGAACGGTTGAAATCTTGATTGCGATCGTGGCGGATCATGCAATTGTTTGTTTGTGTATCAGACTGTGTTGAACGATCCCCTGAGAGTGTGAAACCTGCTGTAGGCATGTATAGGACGCAAGGATTTTTTCCCCCTTAAGTACATAAACGTCTAGTTATGGGGTCCACACGGGCCTTGAACTTGCCCTTTCGGCCTCAGCTTCCCTAGTGCCGGCACGCTCCGATGACAACGTGGACCGCCACACCCAGCTGGCACCGCTATTTATAACAAGCAGAGAGTGCTTGCTTAGCATGCGTGAGATCTCCAGCCCTTCCAGAATAAAAATAGGACCACAGGACGTCTCAGTGGGCAAATAAAGGTCCTGGGCACCAAGCCTGAGGACCTAAGTCCGTTCCCCAGAACCCAACAGAGGAAGGAGATAAATGATCCCACAAGGGGTCCTCAGATATTGGCACGTGCCATGGCAGCACACTCTAAGTAAAATGTGATTTAAAAGTTATAAGGAAAAGAAAACACCAGAATATCCATAAGTGACTCAATTGGTTAAAATAAATATTATATAAACCATAAGAAATCACAGTCTCCATATGTTGACATGATATTGGCATTATCTTTAGAGAGTGCCTTTTTAAAATGACTTATTTGGAAGCTGGAGAGATGGCTCAGTGGTTGAGAGTACTTGGTTCTCTTGCAGAGGACCCAGGTTCGATTCCCAGCATCCATATGATGGCTTACACCTGGCTGAAACTCCAATCCCAGGAGATCTGACACCCTCTTCTGACCCCCTCAGACACTAGGCATGGAGGGGGTACACAAACACATGTCAGCACAACACTCATATGCATAAAATAGTAAAATAAACCTTAAAAAAAAAAAAACTTCTTTGAAACGCACGTGGTGGCATTTGGGAGGCAGGGGCAGGAAGGAGATCAGAAGTTCAAGGTCATCCTTGGCTACGTAGTGAATTTGAGGCCAGTCTGAGCTACACAAGACCCTGTCTCTAAACAAAACAAACAAAACCAAAATTGCATGGAACAGTGTCTCTAAAACAGAATATGCCTCAATTATTTCCTCTGGTTATTCAGAGAAACCGCAGACGGCAGTCGTAGAAACGGTTCTGAAAAATCCAACCTTTTATAAGAGAAATTTGTATGTATTATACAACAGTGGCCGTTAGAGATACAGGCATGTCCCTCTTTCTTCCTAGGAGGAGCTTTTTCCCCAGGGAAGAGGACCACGTGATCTAGACCGATGACCACAGGTGACTGTCACCCAGGACAGCTCATCTGTGTAACAGTCACTGTTTGCCGCTACCTCCAGCCCCTAACCTCTCGTAGACTGTCACCTCCCATGACTTCAGAAACCCCTGTGGCTCTAAGCTCCATGTGAAGGTCGGCTGTGCGGCTGCTATCCGAGTTTAATAACTTTTTTGCACATATATGAGTTATTTGGAATTATGCATGCATATGTGTGTGTGTGTGTGTGTGTGTGTGTGTGCGCACTCGCGCGTGCACATGAGTGTCCTTGAGCATGCTCAGTGAGCACTCTACTGTTTCACTACATCTCCAGTCCACAAAATATCTTTCCAAAGAAGCCACTGCATGTGTGCAAAAGTCAGAGGACAATCTGTGGAAACTGGTTCTCCTTTGTCCCACTCAGGGTCCAAGGACGAACTTCACAGGTGGACTACTTATCTAGTCAGGTTTGGCAGCGAGCACCTTCACCTGCTGAGCCATACTCTGTGAGTTTTTTAAATAAACATCCGAAGGAGAACAATCACGGCCACTTGCTTCGGGTGGGACCAGACCCCGGGCGAAGAAACATGGAGGCACCCTTTCATCTTCAAAGTTCTTTCAATGTCTTAAAGCCAGACACAGCTTCACAGTGTCATTGAGGGGGCTTCCAGCTAATGGCTGCATCCCCACGTGGAGAGATTACATGGCAGAGTATGGTAATGATAGCTCCATGTGTCGTGGGCCACGCTTTTTAAAATGCCCCCCGGCACTTTCTCATGAACTTATCTTAGCCTAGAGGGTCTATAATTACTTCCTCTTCAGAGGTGGGAAACCCGAGTGTTCTCGAAGATAAGTCTATCTCCCCATCATAGTCCAACTGACACTCAAGTCACACCTAGAGCCCAGAGGAGACGAACGCGTCGCTGAGTCTAGAGTTCCCACTGCAGGTTTTACTCCTTAGGTGGTACCACTTAGAAAGATCCCCTCCAAACCCTACATTTTATGTGTAATGAACAGTCTAGAACGAGTTAAAAACCTCTTAGCGTGTGTTTCCCATCCTCTTCCCCTTTCAATGAAATGAAGGGTGTCTCCTCCCCTTTATTTGAGAGTCAAGTTCATGGGCTTGTGTCTACAAAGTAATTATGGGGAGCACAGTGCTTACTCCAGCTCTCTGTGGGCAGACTTGGTCTCACTTCCTAAAGAGACTTGAAGTGCTCAGTTAATAATGCCCAGAATAGTCGCATGGGGATTAGTACAGAGCAACCTGACGTCCCAAGCATATCTTGTCTTTTTAGGAAAAAGGCTATCGATTGCGACCAGAATAGCCAAATGTTTTTATGGTTGCCCCCACTGCTATGGGAGGCCTTAATTGTTGAACTGTTGTCTTTAGTATTTAGTTATAGAGGGACATCCTTGAATACTTGATTACCACAAATGTTTGTTTGCCTTATTTTGATTGAAATAGTGTCTCATGTAGCCCAGGCAGGCCTAGAATTGGCTATGTAGCTGAGACTAGCCTTAGATTCATGATCTCCTGTCTCTACCTCCCAAGCAGTGAATTATTATAGGTGTGCATCACCAGGCCCACTTACTCTGATAGTGTGAAAAAGAGAATTTGCTTCCAAGGGAAATTCTCAACTTGACTTTTGTTCTATATGTAAAACACCTGGTTTGTGCCGGGCAGTGGTGGCGCACGCTTTTAATCCCAACACTCGGGAGGCAGAGCCAGGTGGATCTCTGTGAGTTCGAGGCCAGCCTGAGCTACAGAGTGATTTCCAGGAAAGGTGCAAAGCCACACAGAGAAACTCTGTCTCGAAAAACCAAAAAAACAAACAAACGAAACATCTGGTTTTAGTGGAAAACTTTTTAAATCGTATTTTGAATGGCAGTATGACGATTTCTTATCTGTATGTCAAAGTTTTATTACAATAGGGCAAGATTTTTCTAAGTTAGATGTGAATACGTCATGTAATCATTAGAAATTACAAGGTAAACATTTTTTGACCCCACTGCAAGTAGGTATTTTATCAAGTCTGAGCTGCAGCTCAGTTTTGCTTAACATACACAAGGTCCTGGGTTGGATCCGAGGGGCCTTCAAGATGGCTCAGCTTGGTTCATGTAAACCTGGTGATCTCGGTTTGGTCCTTAAACCCACATTAAAAACAAAAAACTGGATACAGTGGTGTTCCTTTATAATCCCAGCATTCCTGTACAGGAGGGAAGTGGAGACAGGAGAATTGCCTGGATCCAGGGCCAGCTGTCCTGGAGGGCGCAGCTGGCAGAAATAACAAAGATCCTGCCTTCTCCACAAGGTAGAGAATAGACCACTCCTGACCATCATCCTTTGGCCTCTGGAGAGCGTGCTGTGGCATGTACATGCTCACACGTGATACATAATAAAATTTAAAATAAAAACATATACATATAATAAATAATGTTGAGGCTTGGGGTTTGTTTATTTGTGTTTGTTTTTACATTTTTTTGGTTTGTTTTTCGAGACAGGGTTTCTCTGTGTAGCTTTGCGCCTTTCCTGGGACTCACTTGGTAGCCCAGGCTGGTCTCAAACTCACAGAGATCCACCTGGCTCTGCCTCCTGAGTGCTGGGATTAAAGGCGTGTGCCACCACCGCCCGGCTTGTTTTTACATTTTTATCATGTGTTTTAGTTGGGGGTGACCCGTCAGAGCGAAGGAGTAGAGATCAGAGGACAGCTTCTGAGAGCTGGTTCTCCCCTGCCACCATGTGAGTCCTGGGCAGCCAACTCAGGTCGTCAGGCCTGTCAGCAAGGACCTTCACCCACCATGTCGTCCCCACAGTCCGATAGGGAATATTCCTAATAGTGATTCCATACAGCTTCCAACAGCTGTGCCATGAAAATAGGCTACGTGTGAACAGTTGAAGGGCTGGAGATGCAGCCCAGCAGGCTCTGGGTTCGGCCTCCAGCACCGAATGAGCCAGGTGAGGTGGCTCATGCTTGTCTTCCCAGCACTCTAAGGTGAGAACAGAAGGACCAGAAGTTCAAGGACACCCTGCTCCGTAGCAAGTTGGTTGGGTAACAGTTTCTTCCGAGATTGAAATAGTCCATCCTGCAGGGAGAAAGCTCCTTAAGCTTCCCTTAAGCAGGAAGGCGAACAACTCAAAGTGGCTTCAGGAAGTCCCTGAAACTGAACAGACTCACTAGATCCCCCTTTGCCAGAGTAAGTAATAAAAGGCGAGAGTTCCGCTCAGACATAGCCAAGATGCAGAGAAGACTCTGAGACTAGACCAGCGGAGTCCCTTGGAAGGGACACTCTCCAACCTGCTGAACCGCCTGCAGGCTGTGCAGTGTGCTCCAGGTTCCCAGATTTTGCGAGCTCTCACCCATGCTGGGGTGGGCTTTGGCGATAAAGCTGTCCTTGAGTCATCTCTGCTCCTGTAACTTAGCTCTCATCGATACTCCTGTAAATAACCCCAATAAAACTCACTGGCTCACCAAGTTGGACTTTGGTGGTATCTGTACTTTGATCTGTCATGGACTCCCTCACTGGGGTGAATAGATGTGTGTTGCATCTCCCCAATAAAGGTTTCGTCACACAATAAAGTTCAAGGCTAGCTTGGGCTAGAGAGTATGTGTCTCAAAACCAAACCAAAAAAAAACAAAAAACAAAAACAAAAAAACCCCAAAGTATAATTAACAAGAAAATCTACAGGTTCACTTTCCTACTCTGATCCTTAGAGCATTAAAAACACAAATGTTAAAAAATATTCTTGCCGGGTGGTAGTCGTGCATGCCTTTAATCCCAGCACTCAGGAGGCAGAGCCAGGCAGATCTCTGTGAGTTCGAGGCCAGCCTGGTCTACAGAGCAAGTTCCAGGACAGGCTCCAAAACTACACAGAGAAACCCTGTCTCGAAACTCCCACACACACACACATAAATATTCTCCTGTGATTTGTCATTGTCCCCTCTTTGTCCTCCCAACCTCATGAGCAGAACTTGGAATAGCACTCTTTCTAGATGCAGTAAGGTATGTGAACATTTGGATGAGAACAGTGACCTGAAGACACAGCAGGGATGTTAATTAGTTAATACCAATTATCTTAGCTAGAGTTTCTATTGCTATGAAGAGACACCATGACCACAGCAGCACTTACAAAGGAAAACACTGAATTGGGCTGGCTTACAGTTTCAGAGGGTCAGTCTATTATCATCACAGCGGCATGCAGGCAGACATGGTGCTGGAGAAGGAGCTGAGAGTCCCACATCTTGATCCACAGGCAACAGGAAGTGAACTGTCACGCTGGGCGTAGCTTGAGCATAGGAAACCTCAAAGGCCGTTTCCACAGTGACACATGTCCTTCAACAAGCCACACCTCCTAACAGTGCCACTCCCTTCGGGGGGCCATTGTCTTTCAAATCACCACACCAAGAATCAGACAAATAGGATCTTGAGAAATACTGAATTGCAAAACCAGTGTCCATGAAATAGATTTAGCAACAACAAAAAGAAAACTATTACCCTTCCTTCCTCCCTTCCTCCCTCTCTCCCTCCATTCATTCATTCATTCATTCATTCATTCATTCATTCTTTTGCTGTTTGTTTGAAATGGGATTTCATGTAGTTCATCTGGCTTTGAACTCCCTGGGTAACCAAGGATGTCCCTTAACTCCTGATCTTCCTGCCTCCATTTTGCAGGCTCTTAGATTATAGGCATGAGCCACCACCTCTGGCAATAGTTTTTATTTATTTATTTATTTATTTTTGTTGTTTGTTTGTTTGTTTGTTTGCTGTTGCTATTTTTGTATTGTTTTTTTCAAGGCAGGATCATACTTACTCTAGCCGAGGGTGACTCACTCTGTAGCCTAGGCTAGCCTCAGACTCCTGCTGGTGACCCCCTTCCATCTCAGCCTCGTGCATGCTCCGGTTAGAGGTGTGAAGCTGTGCTGGCCTGGTCTCTAGTTTCTTCAGTTACTTGGTGGGAGTGGGTGGGATCCTATGAGCGAGTCCAGGGCTGGCATCCTGGTCTAGAAGCCACAGAATGGAAGAGCAGCCGCCGCCTGGGGAACGCGGGTGAGATCCCGGTCTGTCTCATAAAGCATCCGCAAGGGACACACAGAGGGCCACGTGACACCACCAGGCTCAGACACGTGAATCCTGCAGATGGGTATCCACTGTCTAATCCCAGGTCTTTAAAACTGAAGAGTGAACTTTACATTCCTCACAGGAATTCCCTGGCCAGGCAGCACGACATTTTACACATCTCTTAGTCACCCTGGGTCATGCTCAAATTATTAGTCCCTAAGTCCACACAGGCAGCTGCTGCTACCACGACAGAAGGGAAAGTGTGGAGGTTCCATACAAAAACCAGACTTTAAAGTACAATACGTGCTTCTCTGTGTGTGTGTGTATGTGTGTGTGTGTGTGTGTGTGTGTGTGTGTGTGTGTGTGTGTGCATGCGCACCTGTGCTCATGCATGTATGTAACATATACATGTTTGTGTGCACTAACATGGTTGTTTACCAGTGCTTGCCAGATGTCAACATTAGATGTGGTCTTCTGTCACTCTCCTTTTTGTTTTTTCTGAGATACGGTCTGTCACTGAATCTGGGGTTGGCTGGTTGTGGCCAGCCGCATGCTCCCAGGATCCTCCTCTTTCTACCTCCCCCGCCAGGCTGGGCTTTCAATATGGGTACTGGGGCACCGAACTCACGCCCTCACATGTGTGGGGCCATCTCCCCCAGCTTGCTGCTCCAATATTATTTTAAACGAAGAGAAAAGAAATTGGACTTAGAAGAGCACATGAACTTGGAGCTGGGACATTTCACTTACTAGCTGGGTAGCTTTGGATACACTTTAGTATTTACTTTAGTATTTACTCTTCTTGAATCCATTCTTTCGTTATTTTATGAGAGAGGGTCTTCTGTAACCCAGCCTGCATTCCCACTCGGGGTAGCTTTGAACTCTTGATCCTTCTGTTTCTATTTCCCAAGAGCTGAGGTCGTAGATGTGTGCCACCATGCCTGGGTTTTTTTTTTTGTTTGTTTGTTTGTTTGTTTGTTTGTTTCTTGTAAGAGAATGAAAAGCCTTCATTCATAAAATTCTAAAGTCGATCCCACAAGCAAGACAGAGGATGTGAAGGACACGAACACTCTGCCTGTGACAGCCAGAGCACAGATGAAGCCCTGGGAAAAGAGACTTCTTCCCCACCCTCTGCTTGCTGCATCTGGGTTGGGGGTTGTTCTGTGGAATCTTGAGGAAAAGCACACTACACCCCCCCCACCCCCGCTGCTTCTGGAGCCTAACGCCCAGTCAGCCTTATTTATTTGAGGCAAGCCTCAAACTCGCTTGACCTCCTGACCCCGAGATCTGGGGTTAGAGGTGTGCACACCTGTGTCCAGTCCACTCGGTCTTCATGGTCTCGGATCTTTCAAGTCATCCAAGAAGTGTCCCGGTGTCCTTAGGCTGAGGTCCTTAGCCTGCTGGAGAACCCGGTTTAAAAAATACTTGTGTTTTCCCAGAGGTATTGAGTGGCTGC